GCATTAGGATTTTATTCGGGCTAGAGGTCAAAACCAGAGTCACACATTTATAAGCCATCTGCTCAACTGTGATGGTCGCAGCTTTAGGTGAGCTTTCTTAGGAGGAGAGAGGGGTATGCAAAGGACTGAAAACTGTAAGTTCAGGCTGAAAGGTGGCAGGAGGGCCAGAAATGAGCACCATAGCCAGTGAGTTAAGAAGAAAGCCACAATAATGTAGTGTCCTGAGCCAAGACTCAAAGAAGGTCCATGGGCTTAAAGTAGTTTCCCAAGCCCCCTCCATAAAACCAACTCTGTGGTAATTTTAATGCACCTCATCAATGTCCCAAAATGGATCACTTGACACTTTGGCATAGTCCCTCTTTTTCCTATTAGAAGTGGGTTTGATTGGCTAGCCATATGAAGAATGGAACTGGACCCCCTACCTCTCACCATATACAAAAATTAACTCAAGACGGATTAAAGACTTAAATGTAAAACCTCAAGCTATAAAAGCCCTAGGAGAAAACCTAGGAAAAACCCTCTGGATGTTGGCCTAGGCAAAAAATTTATGACTAAGTCCTCAAAAGCAAACGCAACAAAACAAAAATAGACAAATTGGACTTAAATAAACTAAAGAGCTTCTGCACAGCTAAAGAAACAATCAACAGAGTAAACAGACAATCTACAGAATGGGAGAAAATACTTGCAAGCTTTGCATCTGACAAAGGACTAATACTCAGAATCTATAAGGAGCTTAAACAAATCAATGAAAAAAAAATGAGTAAAGAACATGAACAGACACTTCTCTAAAGAAGACATAGGAGAGGCCCACAAATATATGAAAGAATGCTCAACATCACTATTCATCAGAGAAATGCAAATTAAAACCACAATGAGGCACGATCTCATACCAGTCAGAATGGCTATTACTGAAAAGTCAAAAAATGACATGTTAGCAAGAACGCAGAGAAAAAGGAATACTTATACACTGTTGGTGGGAATGTAAATTACTTCAACCCCTATGAAAAACCATGTGGCAATTTCTCAAAGAACTGAAAACAAAACCACCACTGGATTCAGCAATCCCACTACTAGATATCTACTCAAGGAAAAGAAATCGTTTTATCTAAGACTCTTGCACTCATACATTTATTGCTGCACTATTCACAATAGCAAAGACATGGAATCAACCTAAGTGTCCATCAACAGTTGATTGGATAAAGAAAATGTGATATACATACACCATAGAATACTATGCAGCTATAAAAACAAACAAAATCATGTCCTTTGCAGCCACATGGAGGCAACTGGAGGCCATTAACATAAGTAAACTAAATTAGAAACAGAAAACAAATATTGCATGTTCTAACTTATAAGCAGGAGCTAAACAATGGGTACACATGGTCATAAAGATGGCAACAATGAATGAGGGACTCCAAAAGATAGGAGGGAGTAAGGGGACAAGGGTTGAAAAGCTACCTATTGGGTACTATGCTCACTATTTGGGCGATGGATTCACTGGAAGCTTAAACCCCAGCCTTACACAATACAGCCATGTAACAAACTTGCACATGTACCTCCTGAATCTATAATTTAAAAGAAAAATTTTAAAAGTCATTATGATGTCAAAGAAACAAAAATATATTAAAAATAAAATTAAAGTGGGTTTGACTTTGTGAATAAAGATTTTCTACTTAAATCATCACACATAGCTAAAAAATTATTAACTGCATAAACATAAAACAGTTTCTTTACAACCTTGTTTATTGCTAGATTAGATATATCGCATAGGTGGAATTCACATTAGCACTCACTGAATCCACTCAATGAGTGTTAAACGTGTAATACCATTTGGCCAACAAGTAGAATGCTACAAATCTATAACCTTCTAGGTTTTGGTCCCTTTTCAGTTGAAAAGGGGAAATAAACAATTATGAGTTCCCTCATAAATTAAACTCTCTTAAACTAAAACCAAATTACAACAAATGGTTAAAAGCCTGGGATTTGGAGTCACCTGCCTGTGGTTCAGAATTCGGACTTTACTAGTTAACTACCTTTGAATATTTGGACAAATTACTTAACATCTCTGAGTTTCCTCATCTATAAAACGGAGTACTAATTGCACATCAGCCACAGAGTTGCTGATAGAACTAAATAAGATACTTAAATAAAATTTTTCCAGTAATGTGCTTAGATAGCTAAGCAGCACATTCTGTGAATGTTACCAAGTAATTTCATCAGTATCATTATTACTGCTGCCTTTTATAGGGGAAAGAATTGCAAGACCATATGTGTTTTCCTCATTACATTAAGTGACTTTGACCTACCCAAAGTCTGGTACAGTTTATTTCTGCAACAGTATGTTTCAAAATCAGAAATCTCATGCATTGGTTATAAGTAGTAGAACTATTTTAATTGAAACTCATATTGTCAAAGGTTGAAAATGTGATTTTAATAACAAACAACAATAAAACTTGCATGTTCAACATTACTTTTAAAATATATATATGTTTCCTTTTTTTAAAAGAAACATAATTTTTAAAAATATCAGATTGTTTATGATTTGAAGTCATGGTTACAGTCACGTTGCAGTTTACTGTTTGTTCTTGTCCAAAATACAGGTCCAAGTTAGAGCCAGAATTGCAAATAGACAGAAAATGTCTTTGGTCTTGTACAAAGCTCTTCTCAGTTAGACTATACTTAAACATGTAATATATTCAAGTAAAAATTAATGTAGAGTTAAACATGAAAATCAATCAATATAATATATCATATTAATAGAACAATGGACCAAAAACCTCATGGCCATCTCAGTAGACATGAAGAAGCATTTCACAAAATCTAACATCCTTTTATGAAAAAAACACTCAACAAAATAGAAATAGAAAGGAACTTCCCCAATCTGATAAAGTGCATCTATGCAAAACCCACAGCTAACATCACATCTACTGGCGAAAGACTAAAAACTTTCCATGTAAGATCAAGAACCAAACAAAGATGTACTGTCAGTTCTAGCCAGAGCAATTAGGCAAGAAAAATAAATAAAAGGTATCCAGATAGGAAAAGAAGAGATAAAACTATTTCTATTATCAGATGATGTACTCATATCTAGAAAATCCTAAGGAATCCACTAAAACACTATTAGAATTAATAGATGAGTTCAGCAAGGTTGCAGAGTACAAGATCTGTTGTATTTTTATAACCAACCATTAACAATCCAAAAAGGAAATCAAGAAAAATTCCATTTATAGTAGTATGAAAATGAAGCAAATACATAGGAATAAATTTAACAACGTGCAAGACTTATGTATTGAAAACTACAATGTATTGTTGAAATTGTTAAAGACCTAAATGAATGGAAAGACATCCTGTATTCATGAAATGGAAGACTTAGCATTGTTCAAATGGCAATATTTTTGCAAAACAGTCTGTAGATTAAGTACAATCTCTATAAAATTCAAGCTGTCTTTTTTTTGCAGAAATTAATAAGGAACCCAGAATAGCCAAAATAATTTTTTAAAAGATTTCTGATTTCAAAACTTACTACAAAGCTATAGTAACCAAAATGTTGTGATACAGGCATGAAAACAGACATAAAGACCAAATAGAATACAGAGCCCCAAAATAAACCCTCATATATATGATCAAATAATTTTTAACAAGGATGCCAAGACAATGGAGAAGCAACAGTGTTGGAGAAACTGGATATTCACAAGCCAAAGAATGAAGTTGGACCCTTACCTTGCACCATGTGTAAAAGTTAACTCAAAATGGATCAAAGACATACACAGAAGACCTAAAACCATAAAACTCATAGAAAATGTAGAGGAAAAGCTTCACATCATTGGGTCTGGCAATGATTTCTTGGATATGATACCAAAGGTACAAGTAAGAAAAAAAAAGATAAATTGGAATTAAAAGCTTTTGTTTGCATCAAAGGACAGTATCAGTAGAGTAAAAAGGCAACCTACAGAATAGGAGAAAATATTTGCAAATCACATATATAATAAGAGATTAATAACCAGAATACAGAGAGAACTAAAATTCAACAACAGAAAACCCAACAACACAATTCAAAAATGGCATTTCTCTAATGAAAATGTATAAATGATTAATAAGCACATGAAAAGATGCTCAACATCATTAGGAATATTCACATCAAAACCATAAGGTGCAGGACAGGCATGGTGACGCATGCCTGTAATCCCAACACTTTGGGAGGCCAAGGTGGGAAGATTGCTTGAGGCCAGGAGTTCAAGCCCAGCCTAGTCAATGTCGCAAGACCCCTGTCCACTTCACCCACTAGGATCGATAATTGAAAAAAAAAAAAAAGAAAGAAAGAAAGAAGGAAAACTACTGTTGACAAGGATGTGGGAAATTGAAGCCCTAAGCATTGCTGGCAGGAACTTAAGTTGGTACAACCCCTGTAGGAAACAACTGGAACGTCCTCCAAATGCTAAACCTTGGAGTTATATAAGCCAACAATCCACCACTAGGTATATAACCAAGAGAAGTGAAAACATACATTCAAACAAAAATTATTTTTGGATTAAAAATGTTTTTACAAATGCTCATAATGGCATCATTCATAAGAGCCCCAAAATGTAAACAAACCTGATGTCCATTAACTGATGAATAAACAAAATGTGGTATACACATGCAATGGAATATTATTCAGTTATAAAAAAGAAATGAAATATCCATGCATGTTACAACATTGATAAACCTTGAAATCATTATGCTAAGTGAAAGAAGCCAGACACAAAAGGCCATATATTCTATGATCCCATTATATGAAATGTCCAGCATGGGCAAATCCTTAGGGACAGAGGTAGACTAGCAGTTATCAGGGCCTATGTGAGAGGGACTGGGGGAGTGGAGTGATGGCCACCACGTACAGGATTACATGTTTTGGGAGGTGATGTACATGTTCTAAAATTGATCATGGTGATGGTTACATAACTCTGTGAATATACTAAAACCACTGAATTGTATGCTTTATTTTTTGTTCTTGTTTTTTAAAAAATACAGAATGCTTCACAAATATATGTGTCATCCTTGCACAGGGGCCATGTTAATCTTCTCTGTATTATTCCAGTATTAGTATATATGCAGCTGAAGTGAGCACAAATTGCATACTTTAAACTGTACACTTTAGAAAGTTAAAAAAAAAATGAGACAGGGTCTCACTCTGTCGCCCAGGCTGGAGTACAGTGGCACAATCATAGCTCACTGCAGGCCTCAAACTCCTGGGCTCAGGTGATTCTTCCACCTCAGCCTCTCAAAATGCTGGGATTATACATGTGAGCTACTGTGCCTAGCCTAGAAAATAAATGTTATGGTATGTGAATTATATCTCAGTTTAAAACAAGAATGGACATAAATAGCTCAGCAATGTTTTAGCATGAAAGAATTTAACTCTGAGACTGTTCTGACATCTTGATGGCATGTGATGATCAGGGATGTGACTATTAACAGAGAAAAGCTGTTTCCTCTACACTCACAACGCTTCTGACACCAAACGTGTGGGGTTTTTCCACACCAACAATCTATTCTCCATCTCTCCGGATACCAACTGGGTGTCTTATAACACAGTTCTGACATTTTCTACCTGGAGCTAGCGTCAGACACCAGGGCTCAGTGCCACAGGACTGCTCCCACTTCAATCACAAGTCCTGGGCTTTTGGTATTTCTGACCAAATTGGCTACAAACTGGGGGTCCTCATGACTCTCTTCTAGGGTTCAATCATTTGCTCTGATGGGCTTACAAAACTAAGGGAAACACTTTACTTACTTTACCAGTTATGATAAAGGATGCAAATGAACAGCCTATGCTCTATGCACTTCTTCATAGAGGAACATAGAGCAACATGTGGGAAAGGAGGTCCCGAGGTTCCATGCTCTCTCTGGTGACCACCTTCCCAGCACCTCGTGTTCATTCACTCGGAAGTTTTGTGTACCCCATAGTTTAGGAAATTTTATTGAGGCTTCATAACCTCAGCATGATTAATTAACTCAGTCTTCAGTTCCTTTCCCCATCCAGAGGATGGTGGGTGGGGCTTAAGGTTCCAAGCTTGTAATCATGGCTTGGTCTGTCTGGTGCACAGCCCTCATCTTGAAGCTATCCAGGAGCCACCCAGGAAACCCCAAGGGATTTAGGACCAAATATTAGAAAAAAGGATGCTTCTAGAGTTTTAGGAGTCCTATGTCAGGAACTGGGAGCAGAGACCAAATATATATTTATATTTATTTTTTTATTATGTCACACATATTCTTTTCATAGAGGGAAGAGCTGCAGAGTTAAGAACAGCCTTTTTTGGTGTTTTGGGGGGCCAGGGTCTCTTTGTGAAATGGGGGGATTCATTAGTACAGTGTGTGGCAAGATAATTCAGATGTTTCTTTTTATATGAGTAAGTGAGGTACACTTGGGATCTTAAAAACTATTTTCTTTTTATTATGGTGGGCACCACACCAAAGGGTGCAAGTTGCAGGTTATAAAAACAAAGTAAAAGTTTCCATAGCCTGAAATGGTTGGAAATATGACTAAGTCTCCCATTGAGCGTCTAAGATCAAAGGCCCCAGCATTCTTCCTCTTGCAATTGTTGAATTCATGATGATGATAAGATGGCTGACTATTAAGGGTTGAATGTATAGTAAACATTTACGTGCATTTCCTTGTTTTAATTTCCCCACCATCACTGTGACATACCCATAGTTGTTTAGAACTTACCCAAGGTCATGAAGCAAGTCAGCAACTGAGCTGGGCTTGTAAGTCCCAAGACCCCACTCTACTTCTACCCCAGGGGAGCTGCCCCCAAGAGCTCACAGCACTTGAGATTTTAACCACACCAGTAAGGGAGGCAGTGGAGTATGGAAGCAGTGCTCTGGACTGGGAGTCAGAGTCCCTAAGTCCTGGTCCATTTTTGCCACTAATCAGCTCTGTGACCTTGGGTAAGAAGCTTGACCTCTCAGAGGCATGGTTTTCTGATGTGTAAAGTATGAAAAATTTATCACAGCTATCCCTGTAGTTCCTTACAACCTAGGCATTCAGCCTGAGTCCTGCCTCATTCACCCTCTGATTGTCATTTGTATATTGAGACTAGAAGGAAGAAACCCTTTGAGTCAGTGTAGGCTGGTGATTTCAAGATGCTGGACTTTGGTGTCAGACCAGTGTGGCACTGGTTCCATCATTTATCTCAGTGTGATGTTGAGCAAGTTCTTTAATTGTGTGCCCATCTGCTAATGGGAATAATAACAGTGTTGGGTGCTGTGCTGTCTACATAGAGTGGTTGTGAGGATTGAGGGAGATCTCAGTAGAGAGCTTTAATATAATTCCTGGCACACTGTAAGTACTGGGCTGTTATACTATTATAAATTAAATAATATTATAATTCATTTATGATGATGATTGTTGATTGTTATAAAACAGAGACACAGAATCCCTTCAGAGTAATTAATGTAGTTTAAATAGCTCAGCCAGTCAGACTTTGGAGCTCAGATTGGGCTGAGTTCTGGAACCAGCCCATATGTAGAAAGTCAGCCATACCTCAGGACTATGCTGCTGGGTGAGAAGGTATCAGATTGTCACCAAAAACACTCGAGTTCCCTTCTTGTCAATTTTGAGTCAGTAATGCCATCTTCCCAAAATGAGACAACACACTATTACAACTTACCATATCAATTTTGACTCATTATTCTTTTTTGCCCAATGTAATCAGAAATAGATGAGTGATCAGTGACAGATACTGATAAAACAGTTAATGTGCTATAAAAAGAACAGTTGAGAAAATGCTGCTCCCTAGAAATTTCCCAATGCAGATAGGGAATTTTTCTCTCTTTCGATGTTATTTAGCATAATAAGCACAGATAAAGATAGATTTACAAGATTGTTTATCACAGTGTTATTATAATGGTTAGAAGTTTAACATAAAGAGACATCGAAAATCTAATATTACAAGAATAGTCTGAGAGTTGAGGGAAAAGTGCACTATGGAGTTTTTTTATGTTAGAAAAAAGTGTTCTCTGATTCTAATTTGGTGAATATTGTGTGTATTTATAGAAAAATATGAAATGTAACAACAAAAATATTAGCAGAGACTACCTCTGGGTATGAGATTATTATGTTAAATGTTCTTCTTTATACTTCTTTATATTGTCTATGTTTTTTGCAGTCAGCACATTTCTTTGGAACTGGGGCAAAAGTTGTTTGTTATTAGTGGGAATTCTTTCGAATTTCTTCTTTTTGCTCTAAGGCTCTTTTGTCTGGTAGATTGTTTCATCTGAATATGTCTTAACTCTCAGTCTGGATATATTGGATTTTTTTTCTCTTTTAAGTACTGACTTAGAGGTAATATGCTTCATTGATTTTTGTGAGCTCATCTTTTGCATGTAATTTTCAGGACAAGCCAGACACATCTGTTGCAAGATTGATTTTGTTACTTTGAAAACCAATAACAGATAATAAGATAAAGTCACCAATTAAGTAACCTTTTTCCAAACCTATCACTTCCCTGTTGAAAGCAATTTTCAGCTCTGCCTGAGATTTAGTGTATTTAAATCAGCTCTGAATCTTCTAAGAAGAAATCAATGTTCTTCTGTGTCTTCTTTTATATAATTAGAATTGCATCATTGAATAACTATTAAATGTACAATTGAGAATCTAATACTTAAAAAAGACTACAAAATTAATTCAAATAAAAGGAAAATGGATAGAGTAGATACAATAAGTTTTTCCAACTTTCTTCTTTAATTGTAACTTTAAGTAACTTAAAAAAAAACAATATTACCATATTTATTGAAAAAAATCTGAACAGGCCAAAAGCTGAACTAGTTTTTTTTTGAGAAAAGTTTTGCTCTTGTTACCCAGGCTGGAGTGCAATGGTGCAATCTCGGCTCACTGCAACCTCCACCTCCTGGGTTCAGGCAATTCTCCTGCCTCAGCCTCCCGAGTAGCTGGGACTACAGGCATGCGCCACCATGCCCAGCTAATTTTTTTATTTTTAGTAGAGACGGGGTTTCACCATGTTGACCAGGATGGTCTCGATCTCTTGACCTGGTGATCCACCCATCTCGGCCTCCCAAAGTGCTGGAATTATAGGCGTGAGCCACCGCACCTGGCCTGAACCAGTTTTTTGAGCATGAGAAGATTGAGATTTTTGTTGCATTTGAATTTTTGGGATATCATTTTGGTCTTTTTTTTCTTCTTTTTTTGAGACGGAGTATTGCTCTGTCACCCAGGCTGGAATGCAGTGGTGCCATCTCGGCTGACTGCAATCTCTGCCTCCTGGGTTCAAGTGATTCTCATGCCTCAGTCTCCCAAGTAGCTGGGATTACAGGCACCCACCACCCCACCTCACTACTTTTTGTATTTTTAGTAGAGACAGAATTTCACCATGTTGGCCATGGTGAGATTGTGTCTCAATTGTAGCCCTTAATTGGGCTCAAACTCCTGACATCAGATGAGCCACCGTCGTCAGCCTCCCAAAGTGCTGGGATTACAGGCATGAGCCACTGTGCCTGGCCCATTTTGATCTATTTTTAAAAGTGCTGTTTTATGTGCATTACAAAAAAGTTGGAACTGCATAAGATAAACACTATTATTTGATGTGCACTGGACAGATATGCAACGTATACCTACATTGATAAAATTATTTTCCCCTCAATAGGATAATATTCCACTGTTCTCAACTTGCTTTTTTGTCCTATTTTTTTTGTGTGAAATAAATTCAATTTCAATAGATATAAATTTACCTCACTAGGTCTATATTTTTGCATTTCTGTTGGATAATATCCTAGAAGTGGGATTCTAGTTCAAAGGATATGCATGCTTAAAATTTTGTTTTGCCTCTCAAGAAAGCTTGTGCCCATTTTACCACCCCTCACAGGGAATGGGAATGAAAGATAAAGTTTCTGAAACATAGGCACAAGGAGATTCTCCCAGGTTTTGATAGGATATTATTTAAAGTCACCATCAGAAGTTTGCTTAGCTGGCTTGGGGAGAAGATGTCTTCTGAAGTCAGAATCCTATAAGGTATTCATGTCTAACTCTTCAACTCCATTCTCTACCCAGAAGTGTGTGTGTGTGTGTGTGTGTGTGTACACGCACATGCACGTGTGTTGAGAGAAATG